AGGGTGGCCACACTCTGATGTCTCCTCTCTGCTGACAAACCATGAGCTTCTTTGCTCACAGATCCACTTTAAAATTCAAGAAAAGCAGAGCACTCAGCAGTGCCCCGTTTTGTTTGAAGATGTCTGTTTCAGTTTGCGAATGACCATTTGTGCCAAACAAGAATGGGAGCACATGCTCTTTGAAAATGCTGGCCAATCCCCATGCTGCATTCAAAAATGTACGCAACTTGCAGACTTTACAGTGTGCATATTACCAATTCGCATTTCATACTTTAGGCAATGGAGGAAGAATGCACAGTTCAGAAAAAAGCACATTTTATATTGGAACGGAGTGAACAAACAGGTTGAGAATGAGAACAGGAGTGAACTGAACCAAGCTTCAGTGTGAATTTCAGAGAATTTCAGTCAGTTCAGACACCCCTGTTTCTCCCATACCTATTTTATTTTTCCATTTTAGGATAGGGCCCAGCATGGGCAAAACACTTGGCCAAGTGGCAGCTTCATCCGTTCTCAGCTTTTCAGCACCAGATCCAAAGAAGGGGGGACAGAAGTGGGGGGAGCAGGTTCGTAGCCTGGGGGTACTTCTTGGGCCATGTTTGTTCCTTGAGGTCCAGGTGGCTTCAGCGGCTTGGAGTGCCTTCTTCCAGCTTCAGCTGGAAGCTCAGTAGAGATAGCCTTCTATCAGTGATCTATGCTCTGTTACTCTCTAGACTAGACTACTGCAGTGCACTCTATGTGGTGTTGCCCTTGAAGACTGTTCAGAAACTGCAGCTTGTGCAAAATGCAGTAACCAGATTAATAACAGGGCTCAGACCATCTCATTATATAAAACCAATTCTGGCCTGCTCACACTGGCTGGCTATATGCTTCTGAGCCTAGTTCAAGGTGCTTGTTTTGACCTAGAAAGCCCTGCACAGCTCAGAATCACAATACATGACAGAACACCTACCCTGATACTATAATCAAGTTCCGGGGCATTTCTCCAATTTCCACCTCTGAGGGAGGCTTGGATGGTGGCACAAAGGAGAAGAGCCTTTTCAGTGGTGGCCCCCAGTTATAGAAAAAGCTCCTCACTGAGGGCCACCTGGTGCCAACTTCACTGTCTTTTCAGTGCCAGGTAAAGACCCTCCTCTACTACAGGTCATTTAATTAGTTACTGGGGCCTGCTGGTTGTTAGACAGGGTCTATCTTGGTCCTTCAAACATATAATTGTTCTTCTGTTTTTATTTATTTTTAAAATGCTGTATTGCCAACTTTTTAAATGGAGTTTTACTATGTTTTAATTGGTACAATTGTATATTGTTCTTAAATATGTTGTGAACTGTCTAGAGAGCTCAGCTGTTGGGTGGTAAATTAAACAAATGAATAAACCTTAAAAGAAAGGGGTGGGGGAGAAGGATCAGATATATCCATACTGCCACCCCCGTGGAGACCAGCACATTGCCCAGTGCCGCCATCAAGCCTGACACCACACCTGACTCTTGGAAGAATCCTGAAGAAAAATGTAGGCAAAGAGCTTTGGAGCTGCCATATAACCACTAAGTATCCCGGTGTTTTGATGAGTAACCCCACCCTTTCCCTATTAAATGATTACTTTGTGGAATACCTTGTTTTATCTTCTTATCCAACAATTCTTATTGTTTTTCCCAACTCGGGGAGGATGCTTTCAAGTCTCAGAGGGGGTAATGCTATACTTATCTTAGTCAGAACAGTGATTATCTGCGGTCCTAAAGCAAGCCAAATAGCTCCCTAGGTTCTGGCAATTTCCTCTTAATGAGCACTAATTCTACAAAACACTTCAGAGGGCATCTTTCATTGGAATCATCTTAGAAACAGTTCATCCTTTCAGGAAGATTCTTCTGAAAATGGCGGAAGGTGCAAGCCCACCTGCAACCTGCCGCCTGGTCAACCATACCCATCCGTGCTATCACATTGCAGTCCACTCACCTGGCACTTGCTGCAGCTTTGGTTGATCAGACAGGGGCCATTTTGTGCTGCTGGCAGTATGGCGCATAGAGTGACGCCAGGGCCAAGCCATGCAATGTGAGTGGCCAAAAGCCATCCTGCATCGCTCTTCTGTTGTACTAGCTCTCCCCAAATTTCTAGGGCTTAAACCTGCAGTAGCCAATGCTGGGCCAACTGGTGCTTTTGTAGCTGAAGTGGAACATTAGGACGATTCAGCCCAATCCATGGTTTTGAATGCTGTGGCATAATCTCTCTCCCTCATTCTCTCTCTCCACACACACACACACACACACACACACACTAATTGTATGGGTAGCATTATGAGAAAAGTTCCTAAGCTGTATATTGGAGATGGTTGGTTTGCAATGTTGGAAGAAGTGTGAAAGTTTGGTCTGAAGACAGGCTGTTAAAATTATGAGTGAATTAAGAAACTCTATTCCACTGGTCCCAACCTTTTTGCTGCCAGGGATCAGTTTCGTGGAAGACAATATTTCCATGGATGGGGGAGGGGGTTGTTTCAGGATGATTCTGGCATATTATATGTATTGTGCATGTATTTCTATTATTATAACACTGTGATTTATTTGTTTGTTTAATGCAAACATTTGAATCTTGCCCTTCCACATAAGTGCTCAGGACGGCTTACACAGTATAACATTAAAATAATACAATAATAAAACCACAATTATTAAAAACATATAAACTGAACATTATCAACTAAAAGGAAAAGGAAGAAAAAATAGAAAATAGAAAGTGCAACTGTGAGAACAGAGAATAAAAAATCTTAAAACATCTAAAACCCTTGATTATTAAAATGATGGTTAATGAAAAGGTTTTTACCTGGCACCGGAAGGAGTATAACGTCGGCACCAGGCAAATCTCTCTGCAGAGCACATTCCATAGTCTGTATAATGAAATAATTATACAAGCCACTGCCTCGGCTCCACCTCAGATCATTAGATTCTCATAAGGAGCATGCAATCTAGATCCCTCATGTGTGTAATTTACAGAAGGGTTCGTGCTCTCAAAGGAAAAATGGGGGGGGGTGCGAATGGATAGGCCCACCCCCTCACCTCAGTCTATCTGCTCCCATTGGTCTAAGGTTCAGTCGTTCCACCTTTTTTATTGGAGTGCCTGCCCCATGCCCAAGCCATAGTCCACACATGCTATTGGATACTGTTGGTTGAGAGGCAGATAGCATCATCTTCTCACTGGAGAAACAAGGCGTCTGTCAGAGGAGCTTTAGCCCATTCAAAAAAGATTGGGTACAATGGGTTAGAGCAGTGGTTTTCAACCACCGGTCCATGGGAGAGTTCCTGCCAGTCCATGGGTGGTGGGGTGCATGCTGCTTGCTGTGGACCAACATGGCAGCTGGCTGTGCTCCACCACCTCTTCCTTGGTTGGCATCACATTCACGGGAAGGGCACCAGTGCTGCCAGGGGACCCAGGGAGGAGAGAGACAGCTCAGTGGGAGTTGGCTGGGAGTCACACTGCACTGATTTCAGTATTTTGCTCTCTTGCTCGCATACTTTGTTGCTCGGTTTCTGGCTGTTTTGGAGAATTTTCATTTTTTTGGTACTGTATTTGGAAACTAATACACCGAATTCTGTATTATGTGTATGGTGCTTTTTGTTTCTGCCTCAGCGGTCCCCGAGACAGGTTTTCCTGTTTTTGGTGGTCCCCAGGTGTGGAAAGGTTGAAAACCACTGGGTTAGAGCAATCTTGACATCCCGCCTCCTTCTCTTGTGCTTTGGCATTGCGGTAGATTGTGAGCAAAAGGAGGGGAATTATGGAGGTTACAGCCACAGATGAAGCTTGGTGGGAGACCCCAATTCCATGCCTTTAACTGGTGGCAAATGCTCAACTAATTATTATTTTAGGGTGGTGTGTGTTCATCTAGATTTTACTTCTGTCTCAGGCTCAAGCCTGTCTTGGGCCAACCTTAAAAAGGCAAGAAGCCCTTGAGGATAAATAATCCTAAGCAAGGGGCAGCCAGTTTCTAGCCTTCACCGTGAAACTCACGGATGAGTGAGGGCTGGTGACTTTCTTTCTGCCTAACCTCCCTCACCAGCTTACTGCGAGAGTAATATGGGAGAGGGGAGGTAGGGTGCAATTAATATGCAATCAAATGAGCAAACAAATTAAGCAAGAGAAATGGGAGGAAGCTCCAAAAAGAGAAAGGCAGGAGCATTTGTAATGGCTTAACTGCCTTTTTGACCTCTAAAATGAAAATAACTCTGCATATATCATTTTTTACCTTTATGCTATGTATAAAAAACTATAGTGTTTCATTTATGAAATCAATGAATGATTCTTTTACATAATCTCCATCCGTGAACGGCTTCCCATGCCTGACTATTTCCTGAGTGGCCACAAAACTAGCATAAGTGGTTGAACTTGCAGACTTAATCCACTTCTTGAAATGATTTTTGCTCAAATCAACCTTCCGCATCATTCCTGAAATGGCTTTTTTCCTCTCATCTCCATCCGGATATTTTTCAGCAAAGGCTGTGTGTTTGTTCTGGAAATGTCTTGCAACGTTTGACTTTTTGTTGTTTGCCAATTTCTCACCGCATATTAAGCATACTGGTAAACCAGTCTCATCAGCAGTAAAAGCAAATGAATCTACCCACATACCGTTGAACGTTTGGTTTTCTTCAGACATTTTTCTTTTCTTCGATGTATCCATGGTTGGCCTACTGGGGAAGAAGCTCAGTAAATCAGCGTGTGTAGCAGATTGGCAGCTGTGCTGTGTGGGTGTGGGTTGCAGATCGGGGGCTGTGCTGTGCGGGTGTGGGTCGCAGATCGGGGGCTGTGCTGTGCGGGTGTGGGTCGCAGATCGGGGGCTGTGCTGTGCGGGTGTGGGTCGCAGATCAGCGGCTGTGCCAGCACGTGTCTCAGATCGGCGGCTGTGACGCGTATTTTGAGCGACAGAGCCGCAGCAGAGGCATTCAGGAGCCACATGCAGCTCCAGAGTCGCGGGTTGCCGACCCCTGGTCTAAATAAACTGGCTCCATTTTTTCTCTTTCATGTAGAAAGTCATATCCTTGAGGATGTCAACAGATGCATCATTGCATTGAGAGAACAGGATGCCGATGATTTAGATCGCGCTGCTGGTGCCATCCGAGGGCGTGCAGCAAGAGTGGCACACATTGTTTCTGGAGAGATGGACAATTATGAGATCGGGACTTACACTGAAGGAGTGATGAGAAGCGTGCGACATCTTACAAATACGGGTAAGGACACATCTTTGTCTGTGTTTAATTTGCACTGGGGTTTTGGAGAGGGAAGTTCAAGTAAACTGTAAAGGCATCAGTGTGAGGGCAGCAGCCTAGATTTCTTTTAAAACACTGAGATTTCTTTAGTATGACATCCACCATCTGGTGGAGACTCCAGAGGCGTATTTCTCGTGGCTTAGAAGTGGCTAAATCATGCTGGGAATAAACAGTACTAATAAATGAAGGCTTTGAACACAGAGTCAGCTGGTGCAAGCAGGACTATACTAGATAAGCAATTGCAGTATCATATATATTATATATACAGAGATTATATCAATCTGTCAGAGGGCTGTTGCACAAGCTGAAGCTTTTGAACCATCTTCCACCCATGTGGAACTCAAGGCAGAGATCTAGCTTGCAGCTTATCATGGCATAGCCAGCTATATGGAGCAGAGATGATAGCTGTGGAGTGCTTCGGACATGCAAAATATGCCATTTCAAGGCAACTTTTTACCAGGTCAGGAATTTGTCTGTCTGGTCCAATGTTATCCATTTTGATCATCAATAAACCTTCTAGGTTTCAGATGGTTTTCTCTACCACCTGTCTTTTTAAGTGGAGATACCATGGGACTTTGAATCTGGGCCTTTTAGCCTGCAAGGTATGTGCCTAGAAGCATGCCTTGTTGATAAGTCTGGACATGAGTCTATGGAGAAAACTTAGGAAACTTGCTGGTAAAATGCTGGTAAATTTGCACAGCTATCACATTCAATCACCATTTGGTTAGTAATTTTCCCATTTGCACAGAGCAATACACAATAGCAAACAGGAATCGAGCATGAGACAAGTGGTGAGCTGAAGTTTGGGGGATGCTGGAATTCTTGAACATTGTTCAATTGCTTACCCCTAGTTCCCTCCACCCAAAACTAAATAATACGATTGTTTTCTATGGAAATATAGATTACAGTAATTTTAAATGTCACAGACATGAGTGCAATCGATTCCATTAGGAGTAGGGGGTGGCATATAAATGCAAAATAGATAGATAGATAGATAGATAGATAGATGCTTATCTAGTCTTTCTTGGTTGGAGGACCAGCATGCCCTGCTTCTCCTCTTCCCTATATATGATCTAATGAAAGAGCCAAGTGCCCTGTGCTGACATGCACTCAAATCTTTTCTCTCCCTTAAAGGGATGGAGAAAAGCTTGTTGCTGTTATTTGCCATCAAGTTGTCCTTGATTTACAGTGACCCTATGAATGAATGCCATCCAAAATAGCTTGTTCATGACAGACTTGCTCAGCTCATATGAGCTTTAGGCTGTGGCTTCCTTTATGGAATTGAGTCATCTTGTATTTGGTCTTTCTCTTTTCTGCCTTCAACTTTCCCTAGCTTGATTGTCTTCTCCAGTGAGTCTTGCCTTCTCATGAAGTGCTACAGCCTCAGTTTCATCTGTTTGGTTTCAGGCAAGTTCTAGCTTGATTTGATCTATGACCACTTGTTCATCCTTCTCTTGGTTCAGGTCATTCAGAAAGCTCCCCTCCTGCACAATGCTTCCTTTTCCTTCCATCATCTTGCTTTGTGGCCAAGCTTTCAGGCCTAAGCAAAGATACAGGGAATACAATAGTGTGGGTGATCTTGGGTTTGATCCCCAATGAAACATCCTTACACTTGTTATTTTCTAGTTCCTTCATTGTTGTTCTTCCAAGCCTCAGTCTTCCTCAAATTTCTTGGCTGCAGTTTCCCTCCGAATTGATGGTTCAGTCATGGTATGCAAAACTTTCCATAATTTCAATTTCTTCATTGGTGACATTAAAGTTGTGCAATTCTTAGTTATTTAATTTTAAAATGTGTATGCTGCCTACTAATCCAATGAATTATCTAGGTGGCTTACAGTAAAATGCTAAAAACACAACAATAAAAACAGTTAAAATCACAAGAAAAAATTAATAATAAAATAATAGAATACCAGGTATGCAGAACAACTGGCATCAGAATAAGTAACAAATTTCAAATCAGTTCTTGAAAGTATTCATTGAAAAGAAACATCTTTGCCTGCTGCTGAAATGAAAACAAGGTTGGCACCTGGTGAATTTTTCTGGGGAGCCCTTTTCTATAATTGTGGAGTAGCCACAGAGAAGGCCCTTCTTCTATTTACCATCTACTTTACCTTCTTAAGGGGCAGCTCTTTTAGAACGCCCTCCTGCCCAGATCTGAATGGGTGGGTAGGTATAATGGGAGTAGGTCCTAGCCATTCTTCTGTAGCCTTTTTTTGGGTTATCTTAATGCTCATCCACAGTTCTGCTTTTATACATTCTTCTTTCACTTTCTTTGCTGCACTCCAGTAACTAATGTATAGGGATGAACACATCTGTTAATTTCATTTCTTTACACTCAATAATTTTTCCTAATCCCAAGTCCCATTTTCTGCATCAGCTTTCAATTCTTTACAACATACATGAAAATGTTCTTATATACATTTATCCAAACCTACACATTTTTGGATGATGTAATTTTTCATGATATGTTCAGTATGCAACCATTTCCTCCTAAAATAATGCAATTCATGTACATATTTTTGTGTTCACTTTTCTTTTAACACACCCATTTTGTAGGTACTTGCTGATCACATGACTGCAGTGAAAAATTTGGAGATGTACGAATCCTGAAGGACAACTGTGTTTCAGTCTGCATATTATTTCAGGAAGTTTACAAGAATTTTCTCTCCCATCCTTAGATCTCTTATAAATTGGTCTTGGCATGCAGTATCTGGCTTATATATTAAAAAACTGTGTAAGGAAGGAGAGCAGTACATTGTTTCTCTCTCAGGTGAGCACCAGAGAAATACTTGAGCAGAGAAATACTTGACCAGGTGCATCATCAAATGATTTCTCAACAGCAACACTGTGTCTCAACATTAACAGAAAAACAACAACAATATTTTCAACTTCAGATTGTAGTCCCAAGAAATTTGCCAGTCTTACATAATAATGTGTTGGTGGATCAGTTACTTCTCTTTTTCGTTGCTCTTCCTTCCTCTTTGACAGGCAAACTTTTGTGGTATAACAAACTTTTCTCATTATCCCTTGACTGGAACAAATGGACATGATTTTTTAAATCCCCAGACTTCAGCTTTTATGTAGAACATCAACCTTCTTCACTGTAACCTGGTTGAAATCTGTTATACATTGCCACTGATTGCTGTTCCATCACGCAGTGGTGACATAATGCAACTGTGTTTAAATCCACATTTAACCAAAAAATAGCAACAAAGAGAGCCTTTGACTTGGGAAAAGTATCACTGGAGTGTTACACACTGAGTTTGGAACATCAAAATACAATATCCTTAAATTATTCAACCAAGATGTATAAAGACGCAATGCTTAATGTAAATCATATTTGACATTTGGACCGTATGTCATGAATAAATCTGAAATCTAAGAGATGCTTAGCCACATCCATCTCTGAAGGGAAAAAATTCACAATGAAAACAGAATATGGCCAACTGTGAAGTGCTAGGCTCAGCACACAGCAGTGCAAGTCGTTTTTCCTGCAGAAATGAATTGATTTGTAACGGCTACATACCCACGTTGTCCGTATTACATCAGTGTTCTCTGCTTCTGTTCAACTCACATTCCAGTATTCCTTGATAACATGGAAAAGAGCTCACCGTATATTTTGGCCCATAACTGCTGATCGTTCTCATCATCAGCAACACTGGTTAGGACCAAAGGGACTGGTCGGCCAAAACATCTGTAGACCACAAGTTGCCACTCCTGCTCAACAGCCCTCCTAATGATCAACATCCACCCTCAGCTTTCTCCACAGCAGTCTCCCCAGCTTGGCCTCCTCCAGTTGCCTTGATCTCCCAGCAACAAACACCCAGAAGCTGGATAGCGATACTGACTACTGTGGTCCGACACAACTGGAAGACCCCAAGTTGGGAAGGATTGAGCTGCTGTAGTTGTGATATGCTGCCAAGTTTTCTCCAATTTATAGTGAACCTATGAATGAAAGTCTTCCAAAGTTCTGAGTCACACTCATTTCTTTCAGGACCATCCGTAGTTTCTCATGATCCACAGACACAGTCAAAGGTTTTGCTACAGTCCATAAAGTGCAGATTAACCTTTCTCTGAAATGCTTTGGTGTGCTCCAGTGGCCATCGTATATTTGCAATATGACCTCTAGGGCTGCTTTCTTTCTGAAATCCAGCCGGGGCATTCAGCATTTCTTGCTCCCTATGGTGCAGTATCCTTTGTTGCAACACTTTGAACATCACTTTGCTTGCATGGCAGATGAATGCAGTAGTCCTTTGACCGCTGCACTCTTTTGCATCTCCTTTCTTGGGGACTGGAGTATTATTTAACGTTTCCAGTCTGGGGGCCATTGTTTTGTTTTCCATATTTGTTGACATATTTTTGTTAGGATTTGGACCGATTCTTTTCCTGCAGCTTGGGATAGTTCTGTTGGTATCCTAGCGACTCCAGGTGCTTTGTTCTTTGCAAGTGCTTTCAGAGCAGATTTAACTTCACTTTCTATTATTGCAGGTTCTTCCTCATAGGATTTCACTTTGAAGAGGTCTGTTATCCGTCTACCTCTTCAGTACTGGTCTTAATTATATTCTTCCCACCTTCTCTTTATTTTTTTCTGGTCTGATAGTGTGTTCCCCCATGATGTATTTTTGAATTTTCCTCTGATTTCCTGGATCTTTTGAAAGAGGTCTCTTGTTTTCCCGCCTTGTTGCTCTTTTTTATTTCTTTGCATGGGTCACTGTAATAGTTCTTTTTGTCTCCATGGGACAGCTGCTGAAAAGTTGCTTCAAATTTCTAACCCTACATCTGTCATCTTTCGCTTTTGCTTCTCGCCTTTCTTTTGCAACTTTTTCATCCATATAGACTTTTTATTTTTTGTTGCTACAGGAATTGTCTTTTGGCATTCTTCCCTAGTAATGTCTCTGCTTTCAGTCCACAGTTCTGGCTTGTGGTCAGTTAAGATGAGCAATGCAAATCTGTTCTTTATG